ACTTTCAGCTCCCTCCAAAGATGTTCTATTGGGTTCAGGTCTGGAGACTGGCTAGGCCACTCCAGGACCTTGAGATGCTTCTTATGGAGCCACTCCTTAGTTGCCCTGGCTGTGTGTTTCGGTCGTTGTCATCGTGGAAGACCCAGCCACGACCCATCTTCAATGCTCTTACTGAGGGAAGGAGGTTGTTGGCCAAGATCTCGCGATACATGGCCCCATCCATCCTCCCCTCAATACGGTGCAGTCGTCCTGTCCCCTTTGCAGAAAAGCATCCCCAAAGAATGATGTTTCCACCTCCATGCTTCACGGTTGGGATGGTGTTCTTGGGGTTGAACTCATCCTTCTTCTTCCTCCAAACACGGCGAGTGGAGTTTAGACCAAAAAGCTCTATTTTTGTCTCATCAGACCACATGATCTTCTCCCATTCCTCCTCTGGATCATCCAGATGGTCATTGGCAAACTTCAGACGGGCCTGGACATGCGCTGGCTTGAGCAGGGGGACCTTGCATGCGCTGCAGGATTTTAATCCATGACGGCGTAGTGTGTTACTAATGGTTTTCTTTGAGACTGTGGTCCCAGCTCTCTTCAGGTCATTGACCAGGTCCTGCCATGTACTTCTGGGCTGATCCCTCACCTTCCTCATGATCATTGATGCCCCACGAGGTGAGATCTTGCATGGAGCCCCAGACCGAGGGTGATTGACCGTCATCTTGAACTTCTTCCATTTTCTAATAATTGCGCCAACAGTTGTTGCCTTCTCACCAAGCTGCTTGCCTATTGTCCTGTAGCCCATCCCAGCCTTGTGCCGGTCTACAATTTTATCCCTGATGTCCTTACACAGCTCTCTGGTCTTGGCCATTGTGGAGAGGTTGGAGTCTGTTTGATTGAGTGTGTGGACAGGTGTCTTTTATACAGGTAACGAGTTCAAACAGGTGCAGTTAATACAGGTAATGAGTGGAGAACAGGAGGGCTTCTTAAAGAAAAACTAACAGGTCTGTGAGAGCCGGAATTCTTACTGGTTGGTAGGTGATCAAATACTTATGTCATGCAATAAAATGCAAATTAATTACTTAAAAATCATACAATGTGATTTTCTGGATTTTTGTTTTAGATTCCGTCTCTCACAATTGAAGTGTACCTATGATCAAAATTACAGACCTCTACATGCTTTGTAAGTAGGAAAACCTGCAAAATCGGCAGTGTATCAAATACTTGTTCTCCCCACTGTATGTTGAAATGCAATAACTTAATTGGTTCCTATCATGGGGTTTGGTGTGTGTGACATAGGAATGTTTATGCTATTTTCATCTGATCTGACCTTTGGTTGAATTCCTCAATCCTAACTAGTCCAAGGCTGTACTGATTCATCAGTGACTGAAACCAGAGTGTTATCCTTTGTATCTCTCCTCAGGTATATTATGGGTTGAACAGAGTTGAACATGGTACCTATTAATAGTCTTAGGTTTTCAAGCAATTGGGTCTGAAATGTCACTCATTGGATACTATGCAATTGATAATCGCATAGCATTGGATGCTATTACAGTAGATAAAGGGGAATGTATGCGATTATAGGGGGAGATGCATGTTGTACATACTTGCTATCAGCATAGGAAGGTTTTGGGAAATTAACTAAAGCTATGGGAAATATATTAGAGAAAGACAGGTTTGAAAATGTGGAAACAAGACTACCTCAGTCGATCAGATAGCGCCCCAAGTGAACAGAGAAAAGCTTGGGGTTCCTCTGAATGAACAGGGAGAATGGAGACTGAAGTTATTTTTATTGGGATATATTCATCTGACTATATTGTAGTCTACATGTAAACTTACAAATTGTCAATGTATTTCTGGGATGATGTCATGAGGTTAGGAATTAATTCGTATGTTTGGTTTGTTTGGTTCAAGTAATGTTATATCTGTGGAATTTCACTTACAACAGAAAAATAATGAAAACGGGGGATGACATAATGTCTTTTTATACAGTATTTGTTAATGTCTTTGAGCTCATGAGCGGTATGGGTGAGAGGATAAGGACATTCCATGTATTATTTCTGCCACTGGTGGGTGCCAGAAGGTCTGCATGCCAAGATAGCTTGGGGGCCACTTGTGCTAATCTTAGAAGGAGTATGTGATTGAATATCCTGGCTAGGGTGCAACACGATACCATGTAGGGGGATCCTATTGTAGGTGATGAATAACACTCAATAATAGTTGGCAACTGTTGGATGGAATTAGCTCGGAAAGCACTATATAAACTGAGAGGTTTTCTATGTAAGTCATTCGGATGACAATAGGCTAAGCCTGTACCACTTGTCATGCGAATCCAGTACTGTAATATTAAATAATTATGAACCAACTCTCCATCTAAGTGTTTAACTATTCTCTTACATCCTGAAGTACTCGATACCAGAGAAACTCGTCATAACAGATTGGCGTCTGAACGAACAGGATGCAGTTTACAGCCGAACTAACAGGTAAGCAGACTTTCCTTTTTTGATTAGGTTAAATTCTGCTTATCTGTGGTAAAGCTGAGCTGTAACGAACGTTTAAAATTCAATATTTTTTTGAGGGTAACAGATGAGTGGTATTCGAGTACGTAAATAGATGTAAGGAGAAATATCAAATTAGATAATGACATGGTGCTATGATTCTAAACAGGGTTTGTTCAGAGTAATGAGTAGAAAACAACAGAGAAGAAGGAGAGTGGGTTTAACAAGATTGGGCGTAGGGTCTTTTAATGGGTACGACATTATAAAGATAGGTTTGATTCCTGTAATGTGAAAAAAACATTCGGATGACAATAGGCTATGCCTGTACCACTTGTCATGCGAATCCAGTACTGTAATATTAAATAACTATGAACCAACTCTCCATCTACAGTGAGGGAAAAAAGTATTTGATCCCCTGCTGATTTTGTACGTTTGCCCACTGACAAAGACATGATCAGTCTATAATTTTAATGGTAGGTTTATTTGAACAGTGAGAGACAGAATAACAACAAAAAAATCCAGAAAAACGCATGTCAAAAATGTTTTAAAAATTGATTTTCATTTTAATGAGGGAAATAAGTATTTGACCCCTCTGCAAAACATGACTTAGTACTTGGTGGCAAAACCCTTGTTGGCAATCACAGAGGTCAGACGTTTCTTGTAGTTGGCCACCAGGTTTGCACACATCTCAGGAGGGATTTTGTCCCACTCCCCTTTGCAGATCTTCTCTAAGTCATTAAGGTTTTGAGGCTGACGTTTGGCAACTCGAACATTCAGCTCCCTCCACAGATGTTCTATGGGATTAAGGTCTGGAGACTGGCTAGGCCACTCCAGGACCTTAATGCGCTTCTTCTTCAGCCACTCCTTAGTTGCCTTGGCCGTGTGTTTTGGGTCATTGTCATGCTGGAATACCTATCCGCTACCCATTTTCAATGCCCTGGCTGAGGGAAGGAGGTTCTCACCCAAGATTTGACGGTATATGGCCCTGTCCATCGTCCCTTTGATGCGGTGAAGTTGTCCTGTCCCCTTAGCAGAAAAACACCCCCAAAGCATAATGTTTCCACCTCCACATTTGACGGTGGGGATGGTGTTCTTGGGGTCATAGGCAGCATTCCTCCTCCTCCAAACACGGTGAGTTGAGTTGATGCCAAAGAGCTCGATTTTGCTTGCGGGCGCTGCAGGATTTCAGTCCTTCACGGCGTAGTGTGTTACCAATTGTTTTCTTGGTGACTATGGTCCCAGCTGCCTTGGGATCATTGACAAGATCCTCCCATGTAGTTCTGGGCTGATTCCTCACCGTTCTCATGATCATTGCAACTCCACGAGGTGAGATCTTGCATGGAGCCCCAGGCCGAGGGAGATTGACAGTTCTTTAGTGTTTCTTCCATTTGCGAATAATCGCACCAACTGTTGTCACCTTCTCACCAAGCTGCTTGGCGATGGTCTTGTAGCCCATTCGGGCCTTGTGTAGGTCTACAATCTTTTCCCTGACATCCTTGGAGAGCTCTTTGGTTTTGGCCATGGTGGAGAATTTGGAATCTGATTGATTGATTGCTTCTGTGGACAGGTGTCTTTTATACAGGTAACAAACTGAGATTAGGACTCCCTTTAAGAGTGTGCTCCTAATCTCAGCTCGTTACCTGTATAAAAGACACCTGGGAGCCAGAAATCTTTCTGATTGAGAGGGGGTCAAATACTTATTTCCCTCATTAAAATGCAAATCAATTTATAACATTTTTGACATGCGTTTTTCTGGATTTTTTTGTTGTTATTCTGTCTCTCACTGTTCAAATAAACCTACCATTAAAATTATAGACTGATCATTTCTTTGTCAGTGGGTAAACATACAAAATCAGCAGGGGATCAAAAAATATTTCCCTCACTGTAAGTGTTTAACTATTCTCTTACATCCTGAGGTACTCGATACCGGAGAAACTCGTCATAACATTCACAAAGTTAATTCTAATATATCTACTACTGTACATTGCATTTTAGTTACACTGTTTATACACACCACATATTTATATACTGGATTCTTGACATGGCTCACTCTAATATATCTACTGCTGTACATATCATTCTTAGTATATCTTGTGTAAATTAATCTGGTGTATATACGTATAGATTGCATTTGGATTACTGATAGTGCTATTTGGGTTGTTAATTGGATTCGTTCCGATATTTCTTGATTTCTTGTTTTTTAATTTTTGATTTGTGTACTTATTTGACATTTTACTGCATTGTTAGGAGCTAGTAACACACGCATTTCACTGCACTCGCTATAACATCTGCTAAACTGTGTACGTGACCAATAAACTTCGATTTTATTTGGAATTTTCACTATATTGCTTGCAACTAACCCATCCTTTCACATCCACAAAGTACCTAGAGTTAAGGTGTGATTTAGAATTGGTTGGAAAAACACCACAATTGCCTTACACCCCCTTTGCCTACTCTCCTGCTCCTCCCCTCTCTCCCCTCTCTCTCCTTGCCCCTCCCTTCCTCCATCTCCCCTCACCCCCACCCACCTGTGTTGAGGAGGAAGATTGCGGCGCAGGTGAAGGAGGAGGTGTAGAAGCCCCCCTCGTGCTCTGTGAGGTAGCCCCCCACCACGGGTCCCAAGATGAATCCCACGCTGGAGGCAGCATTGAAGTGTCCCATCACCAGGGGGCGCTCCGCCTCAGACACCAGGTCAGACAGCAGGGCCCGGCAGATAGACAGGGAGTGCTTGAACAGCCCTGGAGGACAGCGAGAGAGGAAGAGGACACGACACAGATAAATATACTGAACAAAAATATAAATGGAACATGTAAAGTGTTGGTCCCATATTTCATGAGCTGAAATAAAAGATCCCAGAAATGTCCCATATACACAAAAAGCTTATTTCTCTCAAATTGTGTGCACAAATTTGTTTACTTCCCTGTTAGTGAGCATTTCTCCTTTGCCAAGATAATCCATCCACCTGAAGAATTTCTCGCACAAACTGTCAGAAACCGTCTCAGGGAAGCTCATCTTCACCTTGTCGTCCTCACCAGGCTCTTGACCTGACTACAGTTTGGCGTCGTAACTGACTTCAGTGGGTAAATGCTCACCTTCGATGGCCACTGGCACACTGGAGAAGTGTGCTCTTCACGGATTAATCCTGATTTCAACTGTCCCGGGCAGATGGCAAACAGCGTGTATGGCGTTGTGTGGGCGAGTGGTTTGCGGATGTCAACGTTGTGTACAGTGTGCCGTGGTGGTGGTGGGGTTATGGTAGGTGTAGGCATAAGCTACGGACAATGAACACAATTGCATTTTATCGATGGCAATTTGAATGCACAGAGATACCGTGACGAGATCCTGAGGCCCATTGTCGTGCCATTCATCTGCCGCCATCACCTCATGTTTCAGCATGATAATGCATGACCCCATGTCGCAGGGATCTGCACACAATTCCTGGAAGCTGAAAATCTCCCAATTCTTCCATGGCCTGCATACTCACTAGACATGTCACCCATTGAGAATGGTTGGGATGCTCTGGATCCACGTGTACGACAGCGTGTTCCAGTTCCCGCCAACATCTAGCAACTTCGCACAGCCATTAATGAGGAGTGGGACAACATTCCACAGGCCACAATGAACAGCCTGATCAACTCTATGCGAAGGAGATGTGTCGCGCTACATGAGACAAATTGTGGTCACACCAGAAACTGACTGGTGTTCTGATACACGCCCCTACCTTTTTTGTGTGAAGGTATCTGTGAACAACAGATGCATATCTGTATTCCCAGTCATGTGAAATCCATAGATGAGGGCCTAATTAATTTATTTCAATTGACTGATTTCCTTATATGAACTGTAACTCAGTAAAATCTTTGAAATTGTTGCAGGTTGCATTGATATTTTTGTTATATTTGTGTGTAACAGAATGTTACTGATGGATTATGTCTTTACTGTATGTATGTACACTACAGGTCAAATGTTTTAGAACTGTCACGACTTCAGCCGAGGCTGCCTCCCCTCCTTGTTCGGGCAGGCTTCGGCGTTCGTCGTCACACTCATCACAGAATCACCCACCCGTTAAGGAGTCAGCGGGAGAAGAGCGCATGCCTGGAGTCGTGGCATGGGTCCAGGAGCATTCCACGATGCTGGCCAGCTTGGGGGAAGCGACGGATCGGGTTCTTCAGGTCATCCAACACCTGGAGAAGAGAGGACCCGATCTGTCGAGACCAGCTGGCCAACCGGATCCAGCCATCTACCCCCCAGCACCCGGAGGGATCCAGATATCCCGACCACGGGCGTTTGATGGGACGGCGGCGCTGTGCCAGGGATTCCTCCTCCAATTGGAGCTTTACTTCGCCAGCATCAGACCGGCGCCATCGGAGCGGGAGAAGGTGTCCGTCCTCGTTTCCTGCCTCTGTGGGAAAGCCCTGGAGTGGGCCAACGCGGTGTGGAAGGAGGGAGGAGCCGCATTGGAGGACTACAGGGAGTTCGCTCGCCTCTTTCGGGCGGTCTTCGATAACCCGCCCGAGGGTCGAGAGGCGGGTGAGCGGCTGGTCCAGCTGAGGCAGGGGACGAGGACTGCGCAGGACTGCGCGTTGGAGTTTCGGACGCTGGCAGCGGGGCCCGGGTGGAACGAGCGGGCCCTGATCGACCATTTCCGGTGCCATCTGCGGGAGGACATCCGACGGGAGCTAGCCTGCCGGGACACCATGTTGTCCTTTGTTAAACTGGTGGACATGGCCATTCGTTTGGACAACCTGCTGGCAGCCAGAGGACGTCCTGGTAGGGCTTTGCCCGTTTCCACCCCGGACGACTCGGATCCCGAGCCGATGGAGCTGGGTGGAGCCACCGGCCGAGAGAGCGGAGGAGGACAGCGGCAGTGCCACTGGTGGCACGAAGGGACAGTACACCACACGTCGTAGTCAACGTTCTTTTGTGCCGGGAGGCGGCAGGCAGGGCACTCACGCATTACCCCAGGTATCGAACACCCACACTTGTTCAGAGCCCTCTGTTGTGCACTGTACCCTACCTATCCACTTTCCCGATCACATGGTAGTTCCCCAGTGTAAGGCGCTAGTCGATTCAGGCGCAGCTGGGAACTTTATGGACAGGGCATTCGCACGCCGTCAAGGCATTTCATTGGTTCCCCTCTCCATTCCACTCCCCATCAGAGCACTCGATAGTCGACCATTAGGGTCCGGGTTTGTTACGGAAGTCACTATACCAGTCACCATGATCACCCAGGAGACTCATTGTGAGCAGGTTATTTTTTCGATTATTGAATCTCCTGCTTTCCCTGTGGTATTAGGTATCCCTTGGTTAGCAACCCCACCTTCTCATGGCCGCAGAGGGCTCTCATGGGGTGGTCGCGTGAATGTCAGGGTAGGTGTCTAGATGTTTCCGTTGGTGCAACCACGGTGGAAAGTCCAGACGGTACCTCCACCGTGCGCATTCCCCCCGAATACCTCGATTTGGCGCACGCATTTTCCAAGACGCGTGCTACTAAATTACCACCTCATCGGGCGGGGGATTGCGCGATAGACCTTCGGGTAGACGCTGTACCTCCCGGGAGTCATGTGTATCCCGTCGCAGGCTGAAACAGAGGCTATGGAAACATACGTCTCCGAGTCCCTGGGCCAGGGGTACATACGTCCCTCCACTACACCCGCCTCCTTGAGTTTCTTCTTTGTGAAGAAGAAATACGGCGGTCTGCGCCCGTGCATTGATTATCGATCAGTGAACAAGGAGACGATTAGATTTAGTTTTCCTCTCCCCCTCATTCCTTCAGTGATCGAGTCAATGCATGGGGCACGCTTCTTCACAAAGCTAGATCTCAGGAGTGCGTACAACCTGGTGCGTGTTCGGGAAGGGGATGAGTGGAAGACGGCATTCAGCACAACCATGGGGCATTATGAATACCTGGTGATGCCCTACGGTTTGATGAATGCTCCATCCGTCTTCCAGTCCTTTGTGAACGAGGTGTTTCGGGACATGCTTGGTCGCGGTGTAGTGGTCTACATCGATGACATCCTGGTGTATTCCACTACTCGCGCCGAGCATGTATCCCTGGTTTGCAAAGTGCTGGCCAGACTGTTGGAAAATGACCTTTATGCCAAGGCAGAGAAGTGTATGTTTTCCAGCAGTTCGTCTCCTTCCTCGGATACCGCATTACCACCTCAGGTGTGGAGATGGAGGGAGATCGCATTTCAGCCGTGCGTAATTGGCAGACTCCAACCACGGTTAAGGAGGTGCAGCGATTCCTTGGCTTTGCCAACTACTACCGAAGGTTTATCCGGGGCTTTGGCAAGGTCGCAGCTCCCATCACATCCCTGTTGAAGGGTGGGCCGTCCCGGCTCCGCTGGTCTGCTGAGGCGGATCTGTTCACCTCAGCTCCGGTACTGGCCCACCCCGATCCATCACTACCGTTCGTAGTGGAGGAGGATGCGTCTGAGGTAGGGAAAGGTGCTGTCCTGTCCCAACGCTCGGGCACGCCACCCAAGCTCCGCCCCTGTGCCTTCTTCTCGAAGAAGCTCAGCCCGGCGGAGCAGAACTACGATGTTGGTGATCGGGAGCTGTTGGCTGTAGTCCGAGCTTTGTGGAGGCATTGGCTCGAAGGGGCGAAACACCCTTTCCTCGTCTGGACGGACCACCGTAACCTGGAGTACATCCGGGCAGCGAGGAGGCTGAATCGTCGCCAGGCCAGGTGGGCCCTATTCTTCACCCGGTTTGATTTTACACTATCATACATTCCGGGTACGAAGAACGTGAAGGCAGACGCACTGTCCCGGCTGTATGACACAGAGGAGAAGCCCAGAGACAACACCCCCATACTCCTGCATTGTGGTGCCGGTAGTATGGGTGATGGACGCGGATACAGAGCGAGCATTACGCACAGAGCCATCTCCACCGCAGTGTCCAGCTGGGCTGCGGTACGTGCCTGCTCTTATCCGTGATCGTCTGATCTTCTGGGCACACAGGTATCGGTCGTACAGTGCGCTGCTTGAGCGGAAAGTACTGGTGGCCTACCTTGGCTAACGACGTGAGGGTGTACACGTCTCCTCCTGCTCGGCGTGCGCCCAAAGTAAGGCACCTAGGCACCTCCCAGTGCACTCTTGGCATTCTTTTATTTTACTTATTTTTATTTTACCTTTATTTAACAAGGCAAGTCAGTTAAGAACAAATTATTATTTACAATGACGGCCTACACCGGCCAAACCCGGACGACGCTGGGCCAATTGTGCGCCGCCCTTTGGGACTCCCAATTACGGCCGGTTGTGATACAGTCTGGAATCGAACAAGGGGGTCTGTAGTGACGCCTCAAGCACTGAGATGCAGTGCCTTAGACCGCTGCGCCACTCGGGAGCCCCTACCTACCGCTTCACCTGGAAGGCTTTTCCAACAGTCTTGAAGGAGTTCCCACATATGCTGAGCACTTGGTGGCTGCTTTTCCTTCACTCTGCGGTCCGACTCATCCCAAACCATCTGAATTTGGTTGAAGTCGGGGGATTGTGGAGGCCAGGTCATCTGATGCAGCACTCCATCACTCTCCTTCTTGGTAAAATAGCCTTTACACATCCTTTTTTGGTTACTACATGATTCCATATGTGTTATTTCATAGTTTTGATGTCTTCACTATTATTCTACAATGTAGAAAATAGTAAAAATAAAGAAAAACCCTTGAATGAGTAGGTGTTCCAAAACTTTTGACCGGTAGTGTATGTATGTAGGTAGTGGACATCACGGTGCAATCAAATTGACCCTTTGTGGAACATCAAAGTATTTTCTTGTTTTAACATACATGTGATTCAGATTCACATAAAAGGTAGAGAGAGCTCTTTCCCCCCAGACAGACTCACCCACAGGGATCCTAGCCAGGACGAACAGGCCGATGCTGGTGGACATCCCCAGCAGGCCGTAGCCCAGAGCACTCAGCAGCAGACACGTCAGCATAGAGTACCGCCTCCCCACCACGTCACTCCAGCTGCCCTGCCAATCACAACCCCCATCATCACACACAGGAAGTGACAACACATCACAGGAAGTGGCATATAGGAAAGAGTAGTATTTTCTCACATAACACAAGGCATTAAACATCTCCACAATGTTGCTGGACACAGGGTTCATCTCAATGGTCAGTACTGTCTTCCTTTCCTTCAAAGCCCCAGGTAGACGAGGAAAGGAATCCACTTAAAACTATTGAGATACAGCCTGGCTGCCCAACAAACCACATATGTATGAGATAATGAGAGCCCGCCCTCTCTCTGAGGTCGTAACACGAGGACATGAGTGTGAGTGGTCAGGTGATCCCAAACAGAGGAATTCCACAGCTTGGTCTTCTTGGCCAAGCAACCCAGGCGCCTCCACTCAGTCTCTCATTACACTGATATATGAATGACACACACACACACTTCTATGCACAACTAGAAATACATACACACACATACACACATAGGTGGACCTACACACGCAGACACATAACACAAAACTTGACTAGATAGCGTGCATGTAGAAATGGACACACGCGCACACAGACAGACAGACAGACAGACAGACAGACAGACAGACAGACAGACAGACAGACAGACAGACAGACAGAGACACACACACACACACACACACACACACACACACACAGATGGTATAATGAAATCAGGGTAAATTTAATTTGCTGTGTTCTGGATGTGGCCTGTGAGGATTACCATAGAGACCTGGCTGTTCCCTTTTCCCTCCATCACACTATCCCTCCCTGCCTGTCTGTTCACTGGGGCCACAAACGACTCCTTCTCCTTTAATTTGTCTCATGACCCCTGAGATTTAAACCAATTTCAGAGACCATGGGGGAGGGGAAGTGCCTCACACAACTCAACTCTGACAATCTCGATCTCTCTTCATAGATGCCTCGCTCAGTGTACAGTAACAAGTCAACCTTGTTAAGAGACATGGATTCAGAGGAATGTGTGGATTTTAACTGAGTGTTAATGGTTAGGGCATGGTGGAGCATCCAGCTCCAGTCCACTGTGTGTGTGTGTGTGTGTGTGTGTGTGTGTGTGTGTGTGTGTGTGTGAGAGAGAGAATCACACTGGTATACCACAAGACATACAGTTCTACAACACAAATGCCTGACTTAAGAACACCAAGTCAATACTTACAACTATAGTGCTAGAGAAGAGTTGTAGGATCCCATATGTGGAGCCTGAAACATAAATCAATGCATTAGGTACAGATTATGGCACATTAAGAACATTCATGATAACTGCTAGCCTACAATGCAAGCCGCTATAGTGCTTTGCATAAACTATCAGACCCTGTGACCGCAATCAGCGCCCACAGCGATATGAAGTTATGAAATTAAAGATATGATTGAGCACATCAGCTGGTGATTTCAAACAGTTACGCTACACGCCGAGAGAATGCTAATTTAGACCATTCCTTAATCTGTCGTCCTTAGATGCCTGATGTCCTCAGAGGTCTTCTTCATTTTGTTCCATACAATATTTGGCAATATTTAATGCATTAAAAGGCATTTTAGAATGTATTGGTTTGCCAGCTACAGCTAAATTATACCACCACGTCTGATGTATGAAACATCTTACAAACTTTAACGCTGACGTGAACTCTTCCATATTTACATCATCATCATCATCATCATCATCCCACCTACCTACTAAGCCTGCCACGGTGGGGCTGGCCCCCAGGGCCTTCACATGGTGACTCAGCAGGGGAATGATCATGCTTACCCCAAACAGGTCCTGGTGAGAAGACAGAGGGAGAGAGAAAAGAAAACGATGAATGACACCATAGACCTGAGTGACTGCAGTAGGTGTATGTTCAGTTTAAACACTGTTGAGCTACAGTAACTACATTGTCATAGACAATAAATAGACATGTCAACAAACAATAACCAAAACAAAAATCCAGGAAACAGTTGAATGATGAGTATCATGATCATCAGAGGTTGACATATCAATGGCCAATGAAAACACAGTCAAATTAAGTGTTAGAATACTCTGGCCTGACAAATTACCCTTTCTAATATGCAGCATGCATCAACGCTACCATCTGCTTTAAAACATTTGAACAGTTTATAAAGGGTGGGGTTCACAAACGCTGCAACTTATATTCAGCAGGGTAATGAGGCATTAGAGGTCCAGTTGTTTTGTCTGTGGAACCGGTTTATTCAAAAGGACAATGACTGAATCAAACACAGTGAAGCAACTGCATGACAAACCACCAGTGTTGTTGGAGATAGTTTATTCTCTGTGGATGGGCTGGTATCTCCAGGTTTGCTCTATGGCTGGAGTTAGAGAGATCAACTAGAGTTCTAGGGTATACCAGTTTTTTTTTGCCTGATGTTTAGTGGGTGTACAACAGAGAGAGTTCAGGGCCTGAGGAGAGAAATAGACACTCTCCCAGCATGTTTATCTGCATTTGTGAGGCCATCTCCATAGAGGCTCTTGCCAGAGACTTGATTGAAGTCACACTGTAGCTCCTGCTGTGTCACAGCCCCACCCATTAAACCAACTGTTTAATTCTCCCTCCGTTCAACTCTACCTCTGCATTCAAACTGGGCACAAACATACGGTGTGTGGGAGTTAGTGCGTAGGCACCTAACCCTATTTGCTCCTGTAAGATGCTCTGGATAATAATTATTAAATAAATAAACATTGTATGTGTGAGAGAGAGAGAGAGAGGAGAGAGAGAGAGAGAGAGAGAGAGAGAGAGAGAGAGAGAGAGAGAGAGAGAGAGAGAGAGAGAGAGAGAGAGAGAGAGAGAGGATCAGAGCGTTCACAAGGGTGTAGGCTTTGGGTGAGAATGGCTTTGGGTGTAGCATTCACTTCCATTCCTTTTATCCGGATAGAATTACACACAGAAAATGTTTAGCATGCCCCCAATATACCGTCTTCAAAATGATCTGTATCGCTCCAGTTCTGTGAGTTTACAGTAGGCTAAGTGTGTGTCCAGTCCACAATCCACATCAGATTAAATAAACATGACATCAATCTAATCCTGTACAACTGGATATTTATGTATATTCTATTGAGTTTTACAGAGTCAACGTGATGTTCTTGTGAAAACCCTGAGCATCTCAGAATAACAAGTCCTTCCGAGGTGAACTCAGATTTCCAAGGACTGGATTCTGCTGAACAGGTTTTTCGACAGTGCTATGATGGGACTCAACCCGCCTCATCCCAATAGTTGGATCAGCATTAGAGTGACTGGAGAACAACCTAGTTTAATACATCTGATGTATTTTGTGGTATCCTGCAGGTCAGGTTCTCAAATGTCATATGATGGAGCCAGCCGCCTAAACCAGAATACTATTTACATAGCCGAAAGCCACTAATGTCATTTACATTTTTTACATTTTCAGTCATTTAGCAGACGCTCGTATCCAGAGCAACTTACAGTTAGTGAGTGCATACATTTTCATACTGGCCCCCCGTGGGAATCGAACCCACAACCCTGGCGTTGCAAGCGCCATGCTCTACCAACTGAGCTACACGGGGCCCTCGGGTCATGATGTAGCCTCTGTAAAATTGACTACAGCCAACAGATCAATAAACTGATGTCATCGCCAATCATTTGCCTCAACTGTAAGGTTGCGTCCAACGTGAGTACTCCTGTTCTATATCCCTTTAGGAAAGAAATTAAAGCATCACAGCAATACCAAACTTGCTCAAATGTAGCCACATCTTCAACAAAGGTTATGTTGCACTTACCATGAACCCCACCACATAGACACATTGTATAATCCGCGTTCGTCTCCTTGGTATCTGATTTAATATGCTACATTTTGCGTTATTCATTCTCCCGCAATGACAGCTCACCGATGGTCAATGCGGAAGCGCTCACTGGCTGCTACAATACCGATCAACCATAACAAAGCAGTGTTGCCAACTCCTCAGTAAGGAAAGTAACTATTGGCTGTCCTAAAAGTCGCTAAATGACGTCATCGCCCAATTTGCATAATTGGCCATGTGCATGTAATTGTGATGGATGCTGTAGGAGAGAGGAATAACGTCGTGGGAGAGACAAAAAGTGAGTAAAAAACACCATACATTCACATCCTGCCCTGAATGTAAGCCAGGGCGGGGGATCAGCCAGCGGCGGCTTCCCGCATGCGCGATTCATTTGCAGTCTGGACGGCGAGGGGTGAACATCTCCTGCTCTGACTGCAGCTGGGAGGGACTGCTGCGCGTGGACTGGGCCGCCTGTGAGTGCTTTGGGACGGGGGTAACAAAGCACCCGCTGCTCGTTGAGAAGAGTAAGAACGATACGAAATTTCACGTCAGAGTCTCCAATAACACTAGAAAAAGTCGCTAGTCGCTTTTTTGAAAATGTGTCGCTAGAGGGGTCTGAAAACTCGCTAACTACAAAGTCGCTAAGTTGGCAACACTTAAACAAAGACAGTACAGTCAAATACTTTACTATTACTAAACCAAGAGACAATAGCTTGTCGTTTCCAACGGGAACAAATGAGTCATATTGGGCAGAACAAGCAAGGAGCTGGGCAGGGCCAAGCACGCGCTAGCAATATCCTATTGGCATGTTGTAGTATATATCTGCATATTTCCGTTAGGGTACTCCTAGTCTGTGAAGTGCGCGTGTGCAATAACTCAATTCGCCTTTGCACTCCTTCTAAACAGCGGGACTTGTACTTTTGCAGAGGGGAAAGTCTACAAACCTTAGTCCAATCTGTTCGTAACATATTACAGATTTTGGAACAGAAAACTGTATTGCGATCAAATGTCTAATCAATGAGAAAATGTGCAGAATGTCGGCCAAAATCCATTTCGTTCCATCTTCTCCCACTGCCCGTCAGTGGGCTTCCTCTCACTACCATATTTGGTAGTGAGTGGAAACGCCAACCGGATGCTTCACATTTATACATCCAGTGAAATATCTGTGTCATTGTTCTGTGGTACAGTCTAAAGATAGGCTAAAACTGCTTCTCCAATAGAAATCCCCGATCACAATTGTAGGCGATGTCATGGCGACGTTGGCTAGCTAAACTCATGCGTAGAACACGTCATCGGGTCTAACGGTCGTCTCCTGCAGAACTGCGCATGTGCAGGCCGTCAAATCAAAGGCACTCCTTCGTAATAAAGTTTTTTTTTGACGAAAATGAAAACGTGTCACTTTCACGAGGTTTAAGTAATAACATGTTAAACTACTTAAGACATTAGCTCGAATCTAGGTTGTGCCATTAAAAATTAACAACTAAAGAATAATTTTTCACTTTTCTCATTGACTTCTCAAACCCCAGCGTGGTCTGTTTCGCAAGCGGTCCTGGAAGTCTCGCGATGTTGCGCCTCTGAGTTTAGAAACTCTGTGACCATAACTAAGAACACCCCCCTGTCCGTGGGATATTCGATCTCCTCAGGGGTGTTCGATTCAACTTCTGAGAACCTCAAGTCATTCTGTTGATGAATTGCCAATATTTTAATATTCGGCAGAAAATTGCCTTTCATTTAATCAAAGTGGATTCATTGAAGCGTCATGTGAATGTTTGAGCTGCTGAGGTCTCATCTTATCCCATTTGGTGCACCGAGAGCTCTACCAGGTGGTATCGACCTGACTTCAGAAAAGGTCAAGCGCTGTATTTGAATATAGCTGTCAGTCACAAGGGCACCATACAACTCTGGTAGAACAAGACACTCAGCCTAGAATAGAATATAAAATAATAGAATACAATATAATAGAATATATCTATTGTTCTATTCTGGACTTTTTGTTATTCTGCATACATTCTGTCTCACTTGGTATCACTTTATAAACCTTCCTGCAATTATTAAATAATTACTTGAGAAGGTAGTGTGATAAAGTAATGTGTCTCAGCCAAGGGAGATGGCAGGCACTGGACAACAGTCTTTGAGGTGAAGTCAGGTGTTTTACTTACAGCGTGGTGATCAGTGTCCGGCAGTCGACTTGAACATATACAAATACATCCAGAATACTAAGAAAAGGCTAGAATAAACGTGTCTAGTAAACATCCTTTTCAGTGTACTACAGCTATTTATTTACCTTTGAGTTGCACTTGCTGAGAATGACATGTTCTGACTGTGCAAGGCTGGTGCAAAGCCACATTGTCACAGGTAGAAATACTTTTCATAAAATGCAATAACACTAAATGGAAATAGTAGGAACGTTTTATGGTTGCTTTTACTCCACCTACTGGACGCGGCTGGAACATTTAAATGTTTCCCATTCTCACTATGCATTCCACATTTCTAGCATGTTTCATCGCAGAGATGGGCTTGCAGACTTATCACTGGCATATCTCACACTGTCATAGCAAATAGATGAAGGCATTCCCTTCCTCACTCTCGTCCTCTTCAGGCCCAGGGCCCCAGAGGTTGAGTTCTCCAAGGAAGAATCTCAATTGCATTTCCTTGATTCCCCACGTCCTCTGACTCCTCTCTCCTCGCCTCCTCAATACCCATTAGATGAAAAGATCATAAGGGACCTTCTCTGACCTTCTTGTCCAATGGTTTTGAAAAGGAGGTGAGATGATGCGCGAATCAAGGAAATGCAATGGAGATTCTCCCAAGGTATCAGGTAAGCTAATCTGTTCACACACACACACACACCCTGTGGGAAAGCTAAGTCAGCCTCTGTTTATGGACAGTATGTCTAGTGGAATTGTGTTTACCCATGGTGTGCAGTGGGACTGAAGGGGTGTGGAGTGTGGATATCAGGTTGCTGCTGTGTATACTGTGTTAATATAGAACAGCTGAGACACTGATAGTTCCCAAGCAACTACACACACACACAAACACACACACATACACATACACATACACACTAAACATGCAGGTGAGACACACAGCAGGCTATCATATACTATATGGTGCATACACAAATACAAGCTCTGTACAAACTATCAGTAACAGTATGATGTAATATAGTAACAGGATGATGTAATATAGTAACAGGATGATGTAATAAAGTAACAGTATGATGCATAGTGCTGGCGATTAACTGAAATGTCAGTAATGTTTTGGTTTTTAAACAACTAATTGACCAACATCGGTTCAATTATTTGAATTCCATTTCGTTAGTTTTTATCTGTGAGCTCAATGCGCACATTGCACAGTTTCTCTAGAGATAGATCACATCCAGCCGTAACTGTGCAATGTAGTAGGGAGTTGTAGTCTCCAACAGGTCAATATTCTACATAGTTTAGCACATAAAACGTTGTAATTAACTACGATGACCATAATCCATTGTGCATCTACTTGTCTGGTCTGTGTTTCTTTTACGCCTGCTACATTAGGTTAGTGTTGGGCAGAATGCGCAATCGTGAGGGGATATAGAGAGCAGCTGTTGCTTTGCAAGGTATCTCTACCTGAAAATGCATGATCTAAGTGATTGATAGTTGGCATTCAGTGGCAGGTAGCCTAGTGGTTAAGAGCGTTGGACCAGTAACCAAAAAGTTGTTGGTTCGAATGCCTGAGATGACTAGGTGAAAAATCAGTCCATGTGCCCTTGAGCAAGGCACTTAACCCTAGTCACTGTGGGTAAGAGTGTCTGCTAAATGACTAAACATGTAAATAAAATTGTGCCTTATTTATTTTGAAGAACTACCAAATAGTGATTTGTCAGACAGCATAGGCAGCAGCTCTATAGAGATGAGAGGATGACTCGGAATGAAATAATAAAGTCATCAAATAAAACAAATGTAATATATACAACAAATGAAATATTTTATTAAAGTAAAGTAATGTGAATAAATTATGGTTAATAAGTGATGAGCAATAATGGGCAGTCACTACCGTCATGGGACTTTTATTAATTGTTTTCTTCTGTTGTTACAGCATTCAATCCAAATAATCGAAACCAAAATCGAAAACTGTGATTATTTTTTAATAATCGAACCGAAATCGAACCGACCTCAAAAAGCGCTAATCGCTCAGCACTAATGATGTCATAAAGTAACAGCATGATGTGCTGTTATCTCCATCTCCCTAGAGAGTGACACAGAGGGATCAAAGAGCCCCACTAGGAAATCTCTCAGCTTACAATAACAAACAACGTTAGGCTTGCTTGCTTTATTCCTTTTGTGCTTCTGTGCAAAGCGCCCCTGAACTATGTGTTATGTGTTTTTCAGCCAGGTCCCCCGTGATACAGGTCAGTATTCGACATTCATCCATGTCTGAGGATTTCGGGAGATTACGTGGAAACCGGCCAGTAGGGGCAACAGTGAGCACTGTTACCTTCAAGTAGGTTTCACTTTAGCTAGGGCATTGTGGACAGGAATGGTGGATGGGTGTAAGCATGTACTTCTGATTTCAAAGGTTGCAAGGTCAAAACCCAGTAATATAACGTTTTAAAAATATATATTTTTTTGTTTTAAGCCTATACCAAACCTTAACCCTTACCGTAACCATTTGGAGTTAATGCATAGCCTTAAGAATTTGTAGTTAAGGTCTGAACTTAACCCTAACTTTAACTTCGGAATGAATGCCTAAACTTAACCTTAAACACTTCTAAATCTGACTTTTGGAACAACTTCGAAATTTGACGTTTGAGAAACATGGATGAACGTCTAATTCTGACGTGAGACTGTGAGAGCTGGTAGATGTTTTTATCCTTATTGCCTGCGTCCGTAACGGGTCCGCGGTCAAACGACCACCCCTCATCACTGTCAAACGCTCCCTAAAACACTTCAGCGAGCAGGCCTTCCTAATTGACCTGGCCCAGGTATCCTGGATGGATATAGATCTCATTCCGTCAGTAGAGGATGCCTGGTTGTTCTTTAAAAGTAATTTCCTCTCAATCTTAAATAAACATGCCCCATTCAAAAAATACAGAACTAAGAACAGATATAGCCCCTGGTTCTCCTCAGACTTGACTGCCCTTGACCAGCACAAAAACATCCTGTGGCGTACTGCATTAGCATCAAATAGCCCCCGCGATATGCAACTTTTCAGGGAAGTTAGGAACCAATATACACAAGCAGTTAGGAAAGCAAAGGCTAACTTTTTCAAACAGAAATTTGCATCCTGTAGCACTAACTCCAAAAGGTTTTGGGACACTGTAAAGTCCATGGAGAATAAGAGCACTTCCTCCCAGCTGCCCACTGCACTGAGGCTAGGAAACACTATCACCACCGATAAATCTACAATAATCGAGAATTTCAACAAGCATTTTGCTACGGCTGGCCATGCTTTCCACCTGGCTACCACTACCCCGGCCACCAGCTCTGCACCCTCCGCTGCAACTTGTCCATGCCCCCCCCGCTTCTCCTTCACACAAATCCAGACAGCTGATGTTCTGAAAGAGCTGCAAAATCTGGACCCCTACAAATCATCTGGGCTAGACAATCTGGACCCTTTCTTTCTAAAACTAGCCGCCGAAGTTGTCGGAACCCCTATTACTAGCCTGTTCAACCTCTCTTTCGTAACGTCTGAGATCCCCAGAGATTGGAAAGCTGCCGCGGTCATCCCCCTCTTCAAAGGGGGTGACACTCTAGATCCAAACTGTTACAGACCCATATCCATCCTGCCCTGCCTTTCGAAAGTATTTAAAAGCCAAGTTAACAAACAGATCACCGACCATTTCGAATCCCACCGTACCTTCTCCGCTATGCAATCCGGTTTCCGAGCTGGTCATGGGTGCACTTCAGCCACGCTCAAGGTCCTAAACGATATTATAACCGCGATCGATAATAGACAGTACTGTGCAGCCGTCTTCATCGACCTGGCCAAGGCTTTCGACTCTGTCAACCACCGCATTCTTATTGGCAGACTAAGTAGCCTTGGTTTCTCAAATGACTGCCTCGCCTGGTTCACCAACTACTTCTCAGATAGAGTTCAATGTGTCAAATCGGAGGGCCTGTTGTCTGGACCTATGGCAGTCTCTATGGGGGTGCCACAGGGTTCAATTCTTGGGCCGACTCTTTTCTCCGTGTATATCAATGATGTCGCTCTTGCTGCTGGTGACTCTCAGATCCACCTCTACGCAGACGACACCATTTTGTATACATCTGGCCCTTCATTGGACACTGTGTTAACAAACCTCCAAACGCGCTTCAATGCCATACAACACTCCTTCAGTAGCCTCCAACTGCTCTTAAACACTAGTAAAACTAAATGCATGCTCTTCAACCGAACGCTGCTTGCACCCGCCCACCCGACTAGAATCACTACTCTCGACGGGTCGCACCTAGAGTATGTGGACAACTACAAATACCTAGGTGTCTGGTTAGACTTTAAACTCTCCTTCCAGACTCACATTAAGAATCTCCAATCCAAAGTTAAATCTAGAATCGTTTTCCTATTTCGCAACAAAGCCTCCTTCACTCATGCTGCCAAACATGCCCTCGTAAAACTGACTATCCTACCGATCCTTGACTTCGGCGATGTCATTTACAAAATAGCCTCCAACACTCTACTCAGCAAATTGGATGTAGTCTATCACAGTGCCATCCGTTTTGTCTCCAAAGCCCCATATACTACCCACCACTGTGACCTGTACGCTCTTGTTGGCTGGTCCTCACTACATATTAGTCGCCAAACCCACTGGCTCCAGGTCATCTATAAATCACTGCTAGGCAAATCCCCGCCTTATCTTAGCTCATTGGTCACCATAGCAACACCCACCCGTAGTATGTGCTCCAGCAGGTATATCTCACTGGTCATCCCCAAAGCCAACACCTCCTTTGGCCGCCATTCCTTCCAGTTCTCTGCTGCCAATGACTGGAACAAATTGCAAAAATCTCTGAAGCTGGAGACCCTTATCTCCCTCACTAACTTTAAGCATCAGTTGTCAGAGCACCTTACCGATCACTGCACCTGTACACAGCCCATCTGAAATTAGCCCGCCCAACTACCTCATCCCTATATTGTTATTTATTTTGCTCATTTGTACCCCAGTATCTCTATTTGCATATCATCTCTTGCACATCTATCATTCCAGTGTTAATACTAATTGTAATTATTTTGCACTATAGCCTATTTATTGCCTTACCTCCATAACTTGCTACATTTGCACACACTGTATATATATTTTCTGTTGTATTTTTGACTTTATGTTTTGTTTTACCCCATATGTAACTCTGTGTTGTTGTTTTTATCGCACTGCTTTGCTTTATCTTGGCCAGGTCGCAGTTGTAAATGAGAACTTGTTCTCAACTGGCTTACCTGGTTAAATAAATAAAAATCCAGTTACTCTCAAAGAGGGGTAATGGGGGATAAAAGTATCTGTTTACAGATGTAGGATCTTCATTTGAGCCAGTTTGCTACAGCAGAAAAATAATCCTGCAGCAACAGGAAATGTGAATTATTATGTGGATCATAATGAATGGACATTTTTTGTAAGGGTTGATAAATTTTGCGTTAGGGCAAATCAAGTCTGAAATTTTAACGTGGAAATTACAAACTTTAGAAGCCTTTTTAAACCTAGAATACGCTACAAGTTTGCATTTCCTGTTGTGCAGGAAAACTCTCAGTAACTAAAGAGTGATCAAGTTAAGATCCTACATCTGTATTACCATCTCAGAGGAGAGGAGATAAAAGTGGAAAGTAGATAGAAGCAGAGAAAAGCCCATAGTTGGCTTCCTGTGTCCTCAGTGGCAGCACTGTGCTAATTAGGCTGTGTGCCTCTATGGGTGATGTGCTAAATATCCCTGTGTGTGTGTGTGTGTGTGTGTGGATGGCAGTGCTTGTGTAGCAGTGTGTTTCTATGGGCAATGTGCTAAATATCCCTGTTACATGCTAATGAGCAGCCAGCTAAGCTCAGTTCCACTCACACTCAGCCAGGCCACTGGCTACAGACTGGTTGGAAAATAAATACACTGTCTATGGTAGCTATGTGTTTTTGTTTATAGAGTAATAATGCTCTCCATTTATATAGTGATTTTACAAGTGCTCAAATCGCTTTACAGTGTATAGGGGTACTAACCTGGTCCACTACCAAGACGTTGCACCATCCTACAATCAGAGTGCTCAGTACTTTGTTTATTTCCAATCAGAAGGGTCACTCGCTGCTATAACTGTGCTAAAGTATTAAGTGTGATATTACATTACAGTAGGCTATGCTGCCAAGCCAATTAAACTGTACAGATGCCAGTGGAGTAATAAAACATTGGAGGCCCTGGCCGTTATATCAGCCAGATCTCAGAGAAGTCAACAGAGTTTGGCCTCACATCATCTCTGTCTCTGCTGTATTGGAGTCAGATGACAACTGTGGATCCCATGGAAGTGACGCATAAGGACACATCCTATTTTCACGACCCCCCCACCTACTATCTCCACATCCCACCATGGGGCGGTGGCTTGGGGTTGTGAGTGAGTGTGTGTGTGTGTGTGTAATGAACTTTAACTTGGGGGAGGCAACGTTTCAGTCTCACTGCTTACCCCCTCCCTCTATGATTTTCTTGTGCATGAGGGGGGTGTCCAGTTGCTGGTAGATATTTCTGTGCTGGAAACCCCCCCCCCCCCCCCCCCCCCCTCCACACCCCAGACCACTCCTGTGACAGTCGGGAGAGTGTGGGCAGCAGGCACCTTCAATCAGCCCCCCAAAATAGCACAAGCGGAGGGATCCACGCCCCTGTGAGTTCCCTGACTATCTCCTCCTACCCAGTCCAGCCCATTCCTGTTCTCAGCAGCCCACAAAGAGACAAACAGAGAAGAGAGGAGCCAGGATAAGACAAATACACAGCAAAGTGACATTCCACCTTGGAGAAAGAATCTCAGCTTGGAATATATTGGGACACTGGGAATATACACACATAGCTATAGAAGTGTGTCAGTGGACCCAGCATAGACAGACACACTCCGACTGCGGGAAAATAGTGTGTTTGATTTCACATAGGAACACACACGCACATACAGGGCTAGTTGATTGGGCCAAGGGTCTCCATACAGTGGCATTGTGTGTCTGGCCTGTCCTGCACCATGAAGCTGAGTGTGGCTCTGTTCTTCGCGGGGCTGTTCGGGGCTCTGGCAGCCGTGTTTGTCCTCCTCTCCTTCGGGACAGATTACTGGCTCCTGGCCTCGGAGACATGTGACGAAGAAACTAACAGAACCATAGGACCTGGGGGCGTTGCCATAGAGGTAAGGAACATGGAGATTCCTGATTACCGTCATGAGATGTTTTGTTGTTTATGCTTCAAATATTGTAGTCCAATATTTACCTAGTATATACTATAGTCCACTAATTATTACCTGTGTAGTAATCATGTAATAATGATGAAGTAATAACTTTGGTGTTATTGGGATTCATTGAAACAACCAGCACTACAGCAGGTGGAAACAGCAGGTGTAAGCAAGGAAAGGTTTGGTGTGGCCTCTCTGGAATGTTCCTTTTCTTGGTCCTCTTTTCTCTTCATATCAGTGGTCATAAAATACAAAGGAGACAAAAAAGGTAGCCATTGGTGTAAGATTGGGGGTAACATTGGGTAAGACTATTCTCTTGTTTCTATTTGCTGAATTAAGGGTTAGGGGTTGGAGGTTAGGGTGGGTTTGGGTGGTCTGGGAGGATCAGCTGGTCAAGGACTAATGTGAAACCATGGAAGTCAAGGAAAGTTGTTCCTTTTCTGGTTGGAGTCTCCTTACAGGAAGTGGTGTCGGGGTCAAGGTCAAACCTGATTCCACTAGTCAAAGCCTTGCTGATTAGATAATTAGGTGCATCAGCTGTGTTGGTGCTGGGCTAGAGCAAACATTTATACCCCTGTGTGTCCCCAGGAACATAATGAAGAAACCTTGCTTTGGATCATAGTATGATCAGTGTGGTGTCACGTTGCTTCGAGAGCTATCAGTACCATGTTTATGACTTTAATAGAGTCCATCCTCCATTACATTGGCTATTGTAGATTAAGGTCCTCACCTTAGTGCACAGCCTAAGGTGGATCTCATGAAAAACCCTCCAAACTTGGGCAATTTACTTGTTCTATTTTGGTGGTATTTTCTCCTGGGTGCATGGTCCAATTACTCTTTCAATAAGACTTGAACTGTGAACTGTGTAGGCCTACAGTACAGGGTTGCATCTTTGGGGGGGTTGTTGCCGCCTAAAGGCCATTTGCTGTATTTCTACGCAATTTAACATGACCCATGGGCTTGTAACCAGTTATTCTTAGAACAGCAACAATAAGCAAAAATGGCCGCAGTCATCAAGCTAGGTAAGAGATCATTATTAAATGTTTTTATTTACAAAGACTTGATATTTTATGGTCTTTATCAAATGCCATCAAACGTTATTAGTCAGACAATATTTCAAGTTTATATGAATATATAGTTAAAGGATATCTTAACTTTTTCAGACCCTGTCTTGTCATTTACCCAGTAAGTAATCTATGGGGCCAGGAGACACAGTCATCTATGGTTCACTTGCGTGAACTTTAAACAATGGTGATAGGGGCAAGCTCACCATATTCAAAAGTTGAGGCCAAATCACCTCTAAGTAACTTCAAATCTAGTCTTTGAGTTGATTTGGTCATGGAATTATGAACATGGTGAGCTTACCCCTATCCATAGTGTTTTGGTTGTTAGCTCAAGTTAGAAGTATCTTTTGAAACAAAACAAAACTGTGGATGACAGTCTCTCCTGGCACCATAGACTTCTTTCAGGGTAAATGGAAAAAAGTCTAAGAACAGGAATGCTCAGAACCGGAGCTACACAGTTCTTTATCTGAAGGAGGAGTTATTGGTTGATTCATGTGATGACATTGATCAAACAAGCACCTTCAATTAGGGCTTTGATAACCACTTGATAGGGATGGTGAGAGCCAGAGGCATATGTGGCAGACGTTTACAATGCTGAAGTAGCCTATAGTAAATTCCTCTGAAAAGCATTTCCTGGATTACATTACTGCCCTATTAAGACATATTTGTTTTAAGATAGTGATAATATGGACCATCACACTATTTTATTCTCTATTTTAGGACAATTGGGGGTATCCGAAACAAATGTGTAAAAATTATTTGATTAACATTTTTTTTATCTGGCCTTAGAAATAACAATAAGATATGTCAAATCAGGTAATGCCAAATTTCAGTCTGAATGAGAATGCTTGAATGATTTAAATGGATCAGGAAGGTATTGACAAGTTCAGGAAAGCAGAAGGAATATCACCAGAATCATTGTGTATTTCATCATTCTTAGAACAGAAGATCAATTCATTTCCCCCAGTCATTATGTGTGGTTTTGTCACAGTCCCTTCTAATGAGTCCTGCGTGGCTTGTGGGCATTGTAGAGGGAAGAAGAAGGCACATATATGTTCCTGAGAGTCTTACCTTTCAGGAATGGGTCATAATAGCTAATAGCCCAAACCGTTCAAACACTAGAGCCAAATTCATAGGAAGAAAACTAACATTCATCATTGGCTTTAGAAAACCGTTGGTTGCCGAACCACCGCTCACGCCTCGATCACGCCGACAGCATCATTGCCTTTTGGTAGACCAGAAGTACATTATTTTCCATTGGAACGCAATGTTTGCCTTGCAGCATTGTGTTGCAGAGGCAGTTGCAGTGCGTTCTGTGTGGTGCATATGTTTGATTTATCCAATGTGTGCATCAAATTGTATGTTTAGAGTTGGCAGAAATAGTAGCAAAAGGTGCATGTTGAACTTCTGTTGCTCACATATCCAGTAACAATTTTTGATTGCATAATGAAAAGGTTTGACTGCAGAATTTATTATGCAGCATTAATGCAATGACGCTGTCAGTCTGTTCAAGGTGTCAGAGGTGCCCGCATGGTCCTAAAGCACACAGTCGCCGTTTTTTGTATCACAAGTGAAATTAGAAGACTGGGGGGGGGGACAAAAATGCAATTTCAGAATGTGTGGGGGACTTGTCCGCCCCGTCCCTAGTGAAAGTTGCACCCCTGCTACAGTATACATGCCTCCCTAGGGGCTGCTAGCTAATGCAGTTGCTCTGCAACCATCCAGCAATTGAGACATGTTGGATTCCTGAGTGATAGAAATACAAATGTCAGTATTTACAACAACCCAGTGATATGGAGTTGAATATCAAATATCACCCACTATAGAAGATCCAGGTCGTCACGATGAGCAATGAGAATGGAATGTCTGCATGATATCAACACTATCAAACCACACACTGTATGTACCCATGTTGTAGTAGTGTTAAAGACTATTACACATATACATATAATCAGTGTTATGTCCGCGAGAGAGGGCAGTGGGCACTGTGAGAAGCAGAGGGAAGCAAAAGAGACATTGGGAATAGGAGAGAAAGGGGGAATGAAAGCAGCTGTTCTAGCTAGAAAGGACTCTCGGTTCTGACTCAACACACTTCACACAACCCCACAGGAAGCTAAAGGTGCTCCCTCAGCATGACCCTTGACCTTACAGTCAGCAATTGTAGCACTAGCACCATATACTATGACAACATTTACGTGAACCAGCTGGCGAGGCACGACATGATACATGTCTGGCTAATGCTAGAAAAGAAAATACTAGGCAAAATGTGAAGAAGATAGAAAAACGTGTTATTTTATGACGTGCTATTATGTAATTGTTATGGTTGTAATATGAAGGACTTATGATGGAGTGTTCTACTAATGTGTTACTATTATTATCTTTCCTCAGCGTGGTGACATGATTCTGGTGGAACCCGGTATGGGGTTCCCCCCAGACGCCACCTTCTACCACGAGGGCTTCTTCTGGAAGTGCTCCTTCGGCGGAAACCTGGACGATGGCACCCTCTTGAAGTTCTGGATCAGTACGTCAGAAAACATATACTGCAAATTCTCCAGTGTTAACTCAACACTAACAGTGTTAAATTTAACACTGGGCAAGTGTCTATATGGGTCCACACTTCTACAATATTAAATTAACACTGTGCTTAGTGCTGACGCTGTTACACGTTAACAGTGTTAGTGAATTTACACTTTCAGTGTTATGCAATAACACCTCATATATTATTTTTAAAACTAAGAAGTGTATATAGTTTACACCCATTGTGTAAAGCAATAACACCTCATATAGTATTTTTAACCATTACACCAAGAGGTCTATATCTCTTGACGAGGTCACTCAGTGTTAGGTCAAAGACATTACAATAATATTTACACGTTTTTATTGCCACATGCTCTTATGTAACCATTTCTAAAGACTTCATAACTCAAAACAGACACGCTCAAACTTTAATTAATGTAACCATAGACCACTAAACGGATACAACACTTCCACTTACGGTTGGCCAGAAATAACTAATTGAAAGCCAATTCCCCACTAAGCCATGTCTCCAATATAATTTCCCAGTGTGCCTCGCTTTTTCAAGTGAATTGTAGAGTTACCACCCATGACTGTATTTGTTAGTGACAGAGACATGGTTGTTGAATTCATTGATATTCAGTCCTTTGGACTTCACTGAGTGAGTTTCGACTGTAGGTGAATGTTATCATTAATTTAACTGTTTATGAAAATTCATTACATATATCACAAGGCCTTACTTTGATTATCAAGTTTTAGCCTATCACTGTGATGTTAGGTACCTTGTGGTTTACAGGCCTCATCCGGCCTGCAAGTCAAATTATGCTGGCATGTAATTCCTATTTGAATTCAGCCAGAGTCAGGGCATTCATTCACCCACACCCGCAACCTAACTGTCAGGGTTAGGAACATTGTGAAAGGAGCCTACCTAAACCATTTAAACTGGAACAACCATTTTCGTAATGGGTGCAATAAATGTAACTAACTGATTGGATTAGTTTAAAAACATTTATGTTATTTATCTTTGTGTAGCATAAGATTAATCAATCAATCAATGTACACAAACACGGATATTAAAACAATCCTAAAAAATCTAGCTGAAGTAGAGCATGCTGGGAAATATGATAATGATGGGCGTTGTTTTGATGGGAACGTTTTACTCTCCACAGAGTAAAAACTGACACAATCACACACTCATATTCAACAATGGTTATTCACTCTTAGAGTTAATTTAACTCCTGAATCAACACTAGAAATGTTACACAGAAAAATCAACACTAGGTAACACTGTCCAATTTCCTGTGTACTTGTATAAAGTATAACACTGGGGTTTTGGACATGCACAATATGCTGTTTTGTATACTCTGACAAAGTGTGTAACAGCCCCAATACTATTTAGTAGGCATGTACAACGCATGTGTTTATATGCATGTTTGGATATTGGGAAACACATATGACTGAAACTTTAGACCCTACCTCTCCACTCTCACTCTCTTTCACTGTATCCTATTACTATTTTCATCTACATTTGGGCCAGTACAGGGACAGTATAGAACAATGCAAACAGTTCATGAAAGTCCTTAAGGTAAATCACTTGTTTATCGAATGTGACTTCTTGATGCTTTGACGTAGTATGAGACCCTTATCACGAGATGTTATGTCATGTGACTCTAGGGAAAGGCTGTATCATGTGATGTTATTCAAGTCCGTTTTCATCTGATGAGATGTGTTGACAATCTCTAATAGGGAACATCCAGGGAGGGTCATTGTCACAAACACCCTAAAGCTCAGGGAACGACCTGGCGAGGGTCTGCTGAATTCCACAAGGCAGAGGAGAGAGGGGGAGAGGAGGAAGAGACTTAGGTTAAAAAGAGAATATCAAGAGTACAAATTAGATTACATTTAATTCAATTATCAAATTTAATGCATTCGATAAAACTTGAAGACTATGCCAGTTTAGTCTCTGTATAGATCCTGCTAGTATATGCTGTCTTTTTAATATAAGGGCCCTTGATGAGGGGAGGATATTTGCTAATGCCAGTGCCATGACCTATTGCTTTTTTTTATTAGTTCTATAATGTGATATGATTTAATGTATCTAACAATGGGCCTGTTTGTCTCTCACTAGCCAATCAGCCCCACTCTAAAGTCTGCACACACGCCTACCTCTTCCCCTTTCCTGTGTCTCAACAGACTCACAACGTCACCGCATATGACTCCGCAATCAGTAAGTGCTTTTCTCTCTGTGTGTGTGTGTGTGTGTGTGTGTGCGTGCGTGTGTGTGTATGTGTATATTTTACATGCCATTGCCATGTAGCCTACTTTGAGATTGTGAGTGTTCACATGTGCTTGTGTATGGGTATTCAAGTTAAAGTATAATTCTGTTGCTCACTGGTTGCCATGGTTCTAACAATGATTGACATTCCTATTGTCCAGTCTACAGAGGCTTCTGGAGTATCTTCATGCTAATTGGGGTGGCTGCCGTCGTGTTAGGCGGGTTCTTCATCATCTGCGCCGCCCCATTCGCCAGTCACCGTCTATATAAGGCTGGGGGCGGGCTCTTCCTGACATCTGGTGAGTTATTGGCCTATATCATCTTAATTTTTAGGATACAACATTTAAGATAGAGCATAACAGTTTATCTCTGTTGAAGGAATGTAGTGAATACCATCACTAATACAAATACCTGCTGCAGCCAATCTGATACAGTCTACCTCTCTCTCCCTCACTGTTTTTCTCTGTTTCTCTATCTCCTTTCTCTCTGCCATCGTCTTTCTCCTTCCATCTCTCTTTCTCTCTCTCTCATCCCTTCACCCCTTCACCCCACCTATCCCTCCCTCCCTCCCTCCCTCCTCCCCACAGCTCTGTTCCTGCTGGGTGTGGTGGTGATGTATGTGCTGTGGGTGGAGGTGATGGATGTGGTGCAGGTCTACGTGGACCACCAGCGCTCCTCTGTGTGTCCCACCTTCAACCTCACCATCCACTACGGCCTGTCCTTCTTCTTCGCCCCCATTGGCATCTCCTTCTGCCTGTTGGCCGGTCTCCTTTTCCTCCTCATTGGCCAGTCCGTACAGATGCAGTACCACTGATTGGTGTCGCTGTGGCGAGAGTGTGACGACGCCCATGGTAGAGGGCGAGGCGCTGAGGCTTCTGGAATGCTGTAACGGTTGGGGCCATATCAATTTCAATTTGTTTAATTTAAGAAGTAAAATGAAATTCCAATTCAAACATTTTATCATAGAGAAGCGTTGAGGTAAATTGGAATTGGAATTTCAGTTTACTTCCTGAATTGACTTCATTGAAAAGGAATTGACCCCAACCCTGCTCTGTAACTTCAAGAATGTGTTGGAAATCTCTGTGTTCTGTCAATCATCCAACAATGGAATGGTACTTCTTTGAACTCTGTGGTGTCACTGATTTGACAGGTTACAATTACATGTTTCAGTCACTGCAAGTGTTTGATAGAGTTCCACCCAAAATGACACCCTATACCTTCATATTAGTGCACTACTTTTCACCGGAGCCTCTATAGGGAATAGGATATCATTTGAGACACAGCCAACGTCTCAGTCCCCCATCACTACATGCTCTTCACCTGACACCTACAGTACTGAGAGACACAGGATTGGTTGGTTGAACTGTGGTGGCGGCTGTTGGTGTTTTGCTTATGCAGGTTGTCAGCGGTCACATGTCACATGTTGCCATAGCAGCGAGTTGGGACTATGGTATGGGATCAGGAAGAGTGTTTTGTTTGTTGAATTCTTTCTCTTTGTATTTTTTGTCAAATGGTTTTAGAAGGCTGCCACTGTCATTTGCTGAGTGTGTTGAGGTGTGCTTTAACATAAATGAAGGGTGAACAACAAGTCACTTTATATGCTTCTCTAAAGATTTTATTACCACTTTATAAATATAATACAAGTGTATTCCTTTTTAAATTATTAGCACATTTTTTGAGAAATGTGACTGCCTCACCATGATATAAGCATGCGGTGTGAAGAGTTAGAAATAAGGTATAGAAATCCAGATTAGGGGCTATATTCAATCTGTTTCGCTGAAGTGTTACAGATTGCGTGATAGAAATGTAAAGGTGATTTCTGATTGAGCAGACATATGCAGCTCTGGTTAAAAGTTTTAGTAAACTATTTGTTTGCTTTCTAAATAGTAGATACTGTAATGAACAATGTAAATTACTACATGCAGTTTAAAACACTAATAAATTGATAAAATATGTTTTGGGGGGCATTTTATTTTAAATGAAAGTGTGTTGATTACTTGAACATACAAATAAAAAAAGGGCTGATCTTATGATCAAAACATACTCTCTCCTACACAACAAATTCTCCAGTGTTAAATCTACACTGAAAGTGTGGGACCATATACACACTGGAACTAGTGTTAAATTAACACACTACTTAGTGTAAAACCTTATTTGAATATTTCACAGACTACCTTGCGTTTCGAGTTACCACCAATGACTCTATTTGCTAGTGACAGAAACATGCTTGTTGCATTCATCAATTTTCTTTGTTCTGTGGACTTCAACCAGTGAGAGCCTAAGTGAATATGTTCTCATATAAAAAATTAAAAATTTTATTTATTTCATGCAATACCATACGTAGTTCACAAGGCCTTATTTTGAGGGCCTAGCTTTACCCTAATACAGGGGCCTGAAACTCATACACATCACTTTGAACCAAAACCATGCCCACCATTATCATATTTCCCAAAATGCTCTATTGCAGGTAGAAAAAATACATGTTTTAATAAATGTGTTTTTGCGTGTACATTGACAGATTGATAAATGAATGTTATGTTACAAAAAGATAAACTAATCCAATCAGTGAGTTAGCATTTTTGAACCCGTTACTGGAATGGTTGTTCCAGTTTGAATGGTTTACGTAGTCTCACAATATTTCTAACCTTCATCATTCTCAATGCATGTTGCAGGTGAATAACAATTCCAACAGCTGGATGTTCTGGTTGGATTCCAACAGGAAATACACATCACTTTGCAAACCAGCATAATGTGAATTCCAGGTAGGATTGCACAATTCTGGTAACTTTTCCAGAGATCCTGGTTGGAAGATTCCTCAAAATGGGAGGGAATTACCAGGAAATCTGGAATCCTTCAACCAGGATTTCAGGAAACTCCTCCCATCCTGGCATGATGAACCACACTACCAAGTTTCCATGGGAAGACTGTTGGGAGTGGCTCGCTGTTCTATCTGGGATTGGAGGTGTTGCACTGCCTCCTGGGTCTGGTCACCAACACCTGGTACCTGTGGCTGGTCACTGGGGGCCCTCTGGTCCAGGTCACCCAGGAGATCTTTGCCCTCAACCTGGCTGTCACAGAGCTGTTCTTCTGCCTTCTCTCACTACTTACTGTCTTCAACTACCTCTTCATCTAAAGCTGGACCATCTTCCAATTCAGCAGCTACACGTTCGGCTTGGTCACCGCCGGTCGCCCTCTGCTCCAGTACCTTATCCGTGTAGAGCGCTAGCTGGCGATGGTCCACCCACTGGTCTACCTGAAGTACAGGCCTCTGAGGTACAGGGCGGTGTGTGTGGCTCTGGCTTGGCTGATGTCCCTCGTCCTCTGTGTTGTGATAGGCTTAATAGGCGGCATGATTGTCAACGCCTGCCTTTTCGCAATCACTGACCAATCGACTTCTTCTGCTGTGTGTCCATCCTGAGGGTGCTGGCCAGGTTCGGTCTGGGGGATGGAGCGAAGGGAGAGAAAGAGGGAGGGAACCTGATAAAGAGAAGAGCGTCCCGTACTATTCAGATCATTCTGCTGAGCCTGTTGGTGAATTACATTACATCCATCAACGGAGCTATCCTGGTACGTTGTTTCTGTATCCCTCCACATTCAGTGACAGCGCTGTGCATTGTGGTTCCTAGCACTAACATGTTTAATATTTTGGGGAGCTTCATCAGCCCTTCCTCTACCTCCTTAGGGCTCGGAAACTACCCTCCGTCTAGGGAAAACGAGAGGGATGATAGCCCTACTTTAGAGGAAGGGTTGTCTGGCATCTGGTTATCATCCCCAGGCCAGAGCCATGTTTAGGCTACAGTCTATAATGGCTCTCATCATTCCTTCCCATTCCTTTCAAGTAGTAGCCTATATTTTATTAAAACGTTTCACCTTAAATGGCAAAATAATTTAAGCCATTCGAAATAACTTTAAAGACTACATTTTTATTTGATAGAAATACAGTTGAAGTCAGAAGTTTACATACACCTTAGCCAAATACATTTCACAATTCCTGACATTTAATCATAGTAAAAATTCCCTGTCTTAGGTCAGAATAATAGTAGAGAGAATTATTTATTTCAGCTTTTATTTCTTTCATCACATTCCCAGTGAGTCAGAAGTTTACATGCACTCAATTAGTATTTGATAGCATTGCCTTTAAATTGTTTAACTTGGGTCAAACGTTTCTGGAAGGTTCTCCCATCTCCACAGAGGAACCTCTGGAGCTCTGTCAGAGTGACCATCGGGTTCTTGGTCACCTCCCTGACCTAGGCCCTTCTCCCCCGATTGCTCAGTTTGGCCGGGCGGCCAGCTCTAGGAAGAGTCTTGGTGGTTCCAAACTTCTTCCATTTAAGAATGATGGAGGCCACTGTGTTCTTGGGGACCTTCAATGCTGCAGAAATGTTTTGGTACCCTTCCCCAGATCTGTGCCTCGACACAATCCTGTCTTGGAGCTCTACGGACAATCCCTTCAACCTCATGGTTTTTGCTCTGACATGCACTGTCAACTGTGGGATCTTATATAGACAGGTGTGTACCTGTCACACCCTGGCTCTGGGACTCTATATGTTGAGCCAGGGTGTGTATATTCTATGTTTTGTATTTCTGTGTTGGCCAGAGTGGTTCCCAATCAGAGGCAACGAGTGTCAGCTGTTGCTGGTTGTCTCTGATTGGGAGCCATATTTATAGAGGCTGTTTTCCCACAATAGTTGTGGGATCTTGTTCCGTTTGGTTTGTTCCAGTGTGGTTTGTGTTAATCCATAGACGTCACGTTATCGTTTGTTGTTTTGTTCGTGAGATCACAATAAAGAGTATGTTTGCTTTCAACGCTGCGCCTTGGTCTACTCCGTCTAGCGATCGTGACAGAAGATCCCACCATACCAGGACCAAGCAGCGTGTCCAGGAGCAGGCAGCCTGGACGTGGGAGCAAATATTGGACGGGCAGGGGTCCTGGACCTGGGAGGAAATCCAGGCCGGGATGGATCGCCGTCCATGTAGTGAGACGGTAGAGGTGCGACGGAGAGAGGAGCAACGGCGTCAACAGTGTCGTTGTCGGACGGACGAGAGGCAACCCCAAAAAAATTTTAGGGGGGGGCATACGGCATGGGCGACGGGGCAGCAGGAGGCAGCTACAGGGCGTAGTAGGAGGTTAGGTGAGGAGGCCACCAGGTTAAGGGGGCTATTGGCGCAGAGGGAGCAGGAGTTAGTGGTGCAGAGGGTGGAGCTATTGGAGGCGATAAGGGAGAAGGTGAGAATTGAGGCACGGCGAGAGGAACTCGGTAGGCAGCTGAGGGTTATGACGAAACCCAGTCCCGCTCCTCACACCAAGCAAGTGGTGTGCGTCACCAGTCCGGTCCGGCCCGTTCCTGCTCCCCGCACTAAGTGGATGGTGCGCGTCGCCAGCCCGGCCCGGCCTGTTCCTGTTCCTCGCACCAAGCCTAAGGTGTGCGTCGCCAGCCCGGCCCGGCCTGTTCCTGCTCCTCGCACCAAGCCTATGGTGTGCGTCGCCAGCCCGGCTCGGCCTGTTCCTGCTCCTCGCACCAAGCCTACGGTGCGCGTCGCCAGCCCGGCCCGTTCCTGCCACTCGCACCAAGCCTGCGGTGCGCGTCGCCAGCCCGGCCCGGCCTGTTCCTGCTCCACGCACCAAGGTAAAGGTGCGCGTTGCCAGCTCGGCCCGGCCTGTTCCTGCTCCTCGCACCAAGCCTACGGTGCGCGTCGCCAGCCCGGCCCGGCCTGTTCCTGCTCCTCGCACCAAGCCTACGGTGCGCGTCGCCAGCCCGGTCCGGCCTGTTCCTGCTCCTCGCACCAAGCCTACGTTGCGCGTTGCCAGCCCGGCCCGGCCTGTTCCTGCTCCACGCACCAAGCCTACGGTGTGCGTCGCCAGCCCTGCCCGGCCTGTTCCTGCTCCACGCACCAAGCCAGGGGTGCGAGTCGTCAGCCCGGTCCGGCCCGTTCCTGCTCCACGCACCAAGCCAGGGGTGCGCATCGTCAGCCCGGTCCGGCCCGTTCCTGCTCCACGCACCAAGTCAGGGGTGCGCATTGTCAGCCCGGTCCGGCCCGTTCCTGCTCCACGCACCAAGCCAGGGGTGCGCATCGTCAGCCTGGTCCGGCCCGTTCCTGCTCCACGCACCAAGCCAGGGGTGCGAGTCGTCAGCCCGGTCCGGCCCGTTCCTGCTCCACGCACCAAGCCAGGGATGCGCATCGTCAGCCCGGTCCGGCCCGTTCCTGCTCCACGCACCAAGCCAGGGGTGCGAGTCGTCAGCCCGGTCCGGCCCGTTCCTGCTCCACGCACCAAGCCAGGGGTGCGCATCGTCAGCCCGGTCCGGCCCGTTCCTGCTCCACGCACCAAGCCAGGGGTGCGCATCGTCAGCCCGGTCCGGCCCGTTCCTGCTCCACGCACCAAGCCAGGGGTGCGCATCGTCAGCCCGGTCCGGCCCGTTCCTGCTCCACGCACCAAGCCAGGGGTGCGCATCGTCAGCCCGGTCCGGCCCGTTCCTGCTCCACGCACCAAGCCAGGGGTGCGCATCGTCAGCCCGGTCCGGCCCGTTGCTGCTCCACGCACCAAGCCAGGGGTGCGCATCGTCAGGCCGGTCCGGCCCGTTCCTGCTCCACGCACCAAGCCAGGGGTGCGCGTCGTCAGTCCGGCACAACCCGTGCCTGGGTCACCGGTGCCTGGTCAGGTACCGGTCAGCTGCTCCACACCGGAGCTTAAGCAATCCGCTCCTACGATGTCCAGTCCAGCTCCAGCCAGCGGGGCCAGACCGGATCAGGGGCGCTACGGGGGGATTATTGGAGGGTGGTGGGCGAGCCCGGAGCCGGAACCGCCTCCGAGGAGGAATGCCCACCCAGCCCTCCCCTGGTTTGTTTATGTTTAGGTGCGGTCGCAGTCCGCGCCTTTAGGGGGGGGGTACTGTCACACCCTGGCTCTGGGACTCTATATGTTGAGCCAGGGTGTGTATATTCTATGTTTTGTATTTCTGTGTTGGCCAGAGTGGTTCCCAATCAGAGGCAACGAGTGTCAGCTGTTGCTGGTTGTCTCTGATTGGGATTCATATTTATAGAGGCTGTTTTCCCACAATAGTTGTGGGATCTTGTTCCGTTTGGTTTGTTCCAGTGTGGTTTGTGTTAATCCATAGACGTCACGTTATCGTTTGTTGTTTTGTTCGTGAGATCACAATAAAGAGTATGTTTGCTTTCAACGCTGCGCCTTGGTCTACTCCGTCTAGCGATCAAACATCTCAAGGATGATCAATGGAAACAGGATGCACCTGAGCTCAAAATATTTAATCCATTTTAGAATAAGGCTGTAACATAACAAAATGAGAAAAAAGTAAAGGGGTCTGAATACTTTCTGAATGCACTGTATGCTTAGTTTAATACTGAAAACAAACTTAAAGATACCAAACACTATTTAGTCTAATCAATGTTGCTAAATATTATGTGGCTCTTCATACTGATTTCTGTGTTTGTGCGTGCGTGTATGCATAAATAAAACAACAAATGTTGTCATACAGCACACTTTTAGTTTTTGTTGTCATAGGCTACCTAGCTAAAATGCTTGCTAGCCTAACTTCCTCTTATGGGCAACAATGAACCAGCTAAATTAGCTAGCTAGTTAACGTGAGCTTACAAGGCTACATCTAGGCTACATATTGAACTTCAATAATCTCAGGCCAGTGGCACAACATATTATTTATGGTTAGATCAGAATCGCTGTCATAATCATTGACCTGTACAGAGAATTAAGTCAAAACCACAAGTCCAAATCCCCATCTCCATCCATGGCTAAGGAAAGGGACAATTTAGCAAGCTAGCTACTGCAGGACATCAACACACAAATGATGTTTTGCTTAGAAAGTGATTTGATTGGTGTGAAGCCAAATCCAAACGGGTTTACCTTGGGGGGCGTTTTGTTGCACCAGGACAACCCACAGTTGAGCTAAGCTCAAAGCTGATTGGCTCAAATCAATTGAAATGATTTTAGGCATGTTGATGGTTTAGTGAGAGATCATCTGGTGATAATCTGGTGGTTTTCAGTTGCAATTGGCCCGATCATGTTAGTACCTTGTAAGGGTTCATTTTACTTCAGCTATTTGTAATGTGTACTAAAAATGTTATATACACTACCATTCAAAAGTTTGGGGTCATTTAGAAATGTCCTTGTTTTCGAAACAGAAGCAATTTTTTTGTCCATTCAAATAACATCAAATTGATCAGAAATACAGTGTAGACATTGTTAATGTTGTAAATGGCTATTGTAGCTGGAAACGGCTGATTTTTTATGGAATATCTACATAGGCGTACAGAGGCCCATTATCAGCAACCATCAGTCCTGTGTTCCAATGGCACGTTGTGTTTGTAATCCAAGTTTATCATTTTAAAAGGCTAATAGAAAACCCTTTTGCAATTATGTTAGCACAGCTTAAAACTGTTGTGCTGATTAAAGAAGCAATAAAACTGGTCTTCTTGAAACTAGTTGAGTATCTGGAGCATCAGCAATTGTGGGTTCGATTACAGGCTCAAAATGGCCAGAAACAAATAACTTTCTTCTGAAACTCATCAGTCTATTCTTATTTTGAGAAATTAAGGCTATTCCATGCGAGAAATTGCCAAGAAACTGAAGATCTCGTACAACGCTGTGTCCTACTCCCTTCACAGAACAGTGCAAACTGGCTCTAACCAGAATAGAAAGAGGAGTGGGAGGCCCCGGTGCACAACTGAGCAAGAGGACAAATACATTAGAGTGTCTAGTTTGAGAAACAGATGCCTCACAGGTCCTCAACTGGCAGCTTCATTAAATAGTACCCGCAAAACACTAGTATTAACGTCAACAGTGAAGAGGCGACTCCGGGATGCTGACCTTCTAGGCAGAGTTGCAAAGAAAAAGCCATATCTCAGACTGGCCAATAAAAAGAAAAGATTAAGATGGGCAAAAGAACACAGACACTGGACAGAGGAAGATTGGAAAAAAGTGTTATGGACAGACAAATCGAAGTTTGAGGTGTTCGGATCACAAAGAAGAACATTTGTGAGACGCAGACCAAATGAAAAGATGCTGGAGGAGTGCTTGATGCCATCTGTCAAGCATGGTGGAGGCAATGTGATGGTCTGGGGGTGCTTTCGTGGTGGTAAAGTGGGAGATTTGTACAGGGTAAAAGGGATCTTGAAGAAGGAAGGCTATCACTCCATTTTGCAACGCCATGCCATACCCTGTGGATGGCACTTGATTGGAGCCAATTTCCTCCTACAACAGGACAATGACCCAAAGCACAACTCCAAACTATGCAAGAACTATTTAGGGAAGAAGCAGTCAGCTGGTATTCTGTCTATAATGGAGTGGCCAGCACATTCACCGGATCTCAACCCTATTGAGCTGTTGTGGGAACAGCTTGACCGGATCTCAACAACACACGTATCTGTTCATATCCTAACCACTAGAGAGCAGCGTTGTCCTATCGAAACAAAACATATTTTATTCATCTGGAGTTCTAATAACCTTGTATGGATTATGCATCCCATCAGAAGTAGGATTTGTATACAGTTCCTGTTTATGTGTGTAGCTCGAAATGAAGGTGGCTGATAGCAGGAGGGTAATTTCACTCATGAATGGAGGAATTGATCAGAGTCCTCCTGTGCTGCTGATTCTCCTGAGTCTGTGTCAATCAAATACCCTTCGTCCGTACATCATAATGCATTTACCTTTCAACAAAGTACATCCATTTACCATTCCACACAACAACAGAGCGTGACTTCCTGTAAGGACAGAGTGGCACATTATGACTATGTGATTATTCAGAGAGAATTACCTTCTGGCCATGATGTTTGGGGTGAGTAAAGCTATGGAGACAAAATTCTCTTCTCTAAAATAAGGAAAACACGCACCTGAATGGGAAAGGCACAAGCTGGTCAAACTGCCAAACACTGTGCAGATGCCCATGATTTATTAAAAGTTAAAACCACCAATGTGTCAGCAAAAGCTGCCTTTCTTCTTGCATACATTATTCTAGAGTAGCCTACGTACTCCTCCTTTTCTAGGGCTTTATTCAATCTGTTACAGATTGTGCAATAGAAATGTCAAGGTAATTTCTGTTTGAACAGACATGCAGCTTTTCCCGTGAATGCAGTCTCCGCTAATGCGGGAATTTGCCTTTAAATTTCAATCACGCTGTAACGCTGAACTTCCACGATACGAATTGAATAGAGCCCTTACATGATCATAGGAGGTCAAAGACAGAGATGACAGTAAAGATTAGTAACATGGTGAATGAAAAACGAATACAGAGTGAGATACAATTAAAACATATGATATGGAGACCAAAGGGTTGTCCTGTGTTTTACTGTACACAGAAACTTCTCTCTTGGTAAAGAGATTCTTTATCTCAATGTGATTTCCTGTTTAAATGAAAGTTAAATAGAACAAATTATTATCTTCAAAGTGTGTGTGTCAGCTTGTGCATGTGTGTGTGTGTGTGTGTGTTTGTATATGTGTGCTGCAGGTGCTCGACCCATTCCTCCAGAGCCAGGCCTAGAAGACAGTAATGTCATCAGAGCGGGAGTCCCAGCTGAATTCAGCTCTGTTCCGCATGGTTGCCAATGATAATTGTGTGTTGATAGCGAGCGAGGGAGATGGAGTATAATTTCCACCTTGAGATTCCTAAACAAATACCTGTGCTCAGCAAAGGGATAGAGGGAAGGGGAGAGGAGGAGAGGGATGAAGAGGTAACTGTAAGGAGCTGAGGGTGAGCAGATAAGGGATGAGGGTTTGAGGATGAGAGGGGATAAGATGTGAGGGGGTGAGGGGAATAGGGGGTGAAGGGTTGAGGAGGAGAGGGAATAAAGGAGGTGAGAAAGTGAGGTGTATAGGTGTAAGGGGATAAAATACTATAGAGGAGGAAAATACAATGTGGTCTCAGGGCAATTTGTATTATTCTGTGTGTAAATCTGTGACACTCCATTTAGTATGATATATTACATAACGTTAGGTTACATGAATGGAATAGTGGTCGTACAATAGACGGGTTGGTTGTTTAGCAACAAAACCGACACGTGCGCAACTATGGGGCAAAACAGACAGGGTTGGCTTAGATTGCTGACAACATGTAAACTATATTTCGTCTCCAATGTTTATTGAAAATGTATATTATTATACTTCTTTCTCTGAGACCAGGTTGCTTGTTGCAACCGTAACAACAAAGGATTACAAAGGAGAATTACGGGAAAATGTACGGGTTAATATAATTTATGTAAAAGGTTAGGAGAACTAAAACAACAAAGGTTAGGAGAATTTAAGTAGCATGTTAGGTGAAATGGGTTAAGTTTAGAATAATGGTTAAGGGAAGGGTTAGCTAAAATGCTACAGTTGTCCCCGACGCGATTTGAACACTCAACCTTTGGATTGCTAGACGGTCGTGGATTACGCCCACCTATCCTCCCTGACCAACCAACCTCTCCACTTTTGTTTTTGCCTAAAGTAACTAGACCATTAGTAGGTATCATATGTCTTGGAGGTGCTCAGAAATACGTAAAGTATGTTTCATATGGCTCTGAGGCCAGGCTGGAAAATAGGGGAGCAACAGGAAGGAGAGAACAGTAACCTAGTGGTAATTTAAACTGTCAAAGTTGCTAGGCTCCTGCTTCAAAAACACAGACACAAACATGCACCTCTTGTATTTATGTCAACATCTTTAGGAAAGTTATTAATACAAAGCAAAAATACTATTTCCCAGCATGCACTATCACCTCACTGCTCATCCAGGCTTCTTAACACAGATGATCATCCTAATGTCTCATAATCCCAGACGACATTAACTTTGGATTTTATTTAAATCTGATGACTTTCACCTCACAGACACAGGATGTATTTGAATTGCATGAACAAGATGGCAAGTCCTATTACACGCTGTACTCTTCTTTAGAGATAGTTTTACATAATTTCCCATTCCATTTGAAATAATGAATAGACAATGGGCCTATGTTAATGTGAGAATTTACAATTCAGAACACAGGGTCGTATAATTACTACTGCGCATAATTCAGGGTAGTTCAGTGCTGGTGGTCCTTCATGGTGGTACAAAACGTTATGTAAAATTTCAGCAGTCTGGTGAGAATGCACACCATATTTGACTTTTATAGTAGTAATATGAAAACAAGCTATATCTTAAACACTATCTTTCATTGTGCTGCCAATGCAGCTCGTCATAACATTACATCAATTCCTCAATGTGCAAAAAGTGATTGGGTCCAGGGAACACTGCAAGTATTGGCAAAAAAATACTAATTGTACTGAATAAAGTGAAAGAGGGCCACGTTGTTTTAGATAATAACGTAAACAAATAAAGAGATCTAATCATGGGGTAATCATTTTTTAAAATGTAAATTCTTTAGTTTAATTTCTCTGAGGCAAATTCTCTTCAAGCCTCTGTATACTCTTCATGTGGCTACTGAGCAGCCATAGAGATAGCCCTCTTCACCAACTCAAGGCCTCTCTCTTCAAAGGAATACTAATGCGTTATTTAATAATCTCTCCCAAGTTCCTTTTAAACTGCTGCCAAAATGGACATATAAGCCTACACTGTATCTACATGTTATATGGAGTGGACTCCATTTTGTTAATGAGGGTTCCATTTTGTTCTCTTAATCTCTTCAACCATGATCTGTCTGCTGAGCCCACCTGCATCGCTCTTCCTCATTCATCCCAACACAATAAGTAATAGTAGTAGTGAATGTATGGCTGGTGCAGGGACAGAGTCTGGGTCTATTATCCTCCTCCTCAACTGCCAAAGCAGAGTTTTTACATTTGTATATGTTTTAAAATAAAGCAAAATATGTGTATTTTAGGATATGTTTGAAATGCTTTGTCTCTGGTAGATTTACTGTGGAGTCTATTTCACAAAAGTCAATCATCCTCTCATAGCTTGCTCTCTAAAGAGGCAGGACAGTCTTCTTTTAGTTATTCATAAATTTGTACATACTGTATACACACTGCACATATCCCCTTTAATCCCACCAAGATTCCATTATACATTCAATTACAGTTTCATCATGCTATTTCAACACAAGCAAAGTGTGTTTGGTTTTTCATAATCAAATATTTGTAGAACAATCTGTTAATTATCTTTTATTATTATCAGTAAATACAGTAGCATTGTAAATACATTAATAATGAATACAGTATCTTTGGAAGAGTCCAGAATTCACTGTTTAGATAAAACTCCTTATTTGGGCATGGGGGACATTATTCAGTCATGCTGCTCCTTATATGGGCCTGGTTTCCCCTCCAGCAGTTATTCATGCCATGGAACCACACTCAGTCAGTGGACTGCTCATGAATATTCAAATGTTACTGAAATATCACTTTTTTATTCAGTGTTGTTGGGATGGGGTTCAGGGGTACAGGCTTTATCGCACCAAAGCTTAAAGGTGCAGTTTGTAACATGTTATTGATAATTTGGTGTTTGAATTGTGATTTATAAATACCTGTATACTGTGGCTGACATTACCACCAACCCCCCCAAAACAGTTTGCAAGGATGTGAAATATTGTTACGGTAATATTGGTTACCTTTTCAACTGCTGAGAAAAAGACACCAATATGTTTTTTCTCTCAAGGATTTAAATTATTTTTACTACTACAGATACATCATACAGTAGGGAAAATGTGAAAATATTATATAATTCACCTTTAACCTCTGTCTTCCCTGTCTGAGGTCTTCTTTTTGTAGTTAGTCCCAGTCTCATTTCTCATTCCTTCATCTTTGGAGAAAGTTTGTCTTCTACGTGTTCAAGTCACTGAACCATAATTATTGTGGCAGTTAAGGCTATACATGTTTATTAATGCCATCCTACAAGAGGGCACTGTCATATCTCTTTCTCTGTAGCTATGTTAGCTTGTGGAATTGGATAAAAAAATATACACAGATAAATATTTTATTACAGAAATATACAATTCTAATGTGTTTATTAAAATGCTTAACATTTCTCTTTGTTTTGATCTTCATGTGTATTCATAAGAGTTATTTAATGTGCGACCTTACCTCATTAGGGTAACATTTATGAAAATCATTATGTATTATGTATCAGAATTAAACAAAACAAAACATGCATATTACTAACGCTTGAACTACATCAGTACAGGCATGAGAGTCACGCAGTTTGGCTAATCTAGGTGACATCTTTCTGAAGTTAGGACAACACATCCAGCTTTTTTATGGGGGGTGTCACTAACATACAGGACTGTTGAACAGAACTGACCCACTGGTGAATCTGTTATTAACATCACTTGAAGAAATCCCTATGAACAAGGTTATTTTTGTCTTCCCCTCACGTTCCAACTCATACAAGAAGTTGTGGAAGAGTGTAGAGGAAAGACATTGGTAGCAGACGTGGAAAGAACAGGGACAGACTACAGGTTCACCTGAGTGTCCAGATGAACTGAGAAAACCAAACCAAACCAAATCAATTATCTTCCATATTAAACAATCCTGAGCCCCTTCAGCAATAGCTTTCAATGCAATAGGAGAGAAAGACAGACAGACAGACCTGTTGAGGTGAAGGTCCTTGTAAATATCTGTTGTTGATCTTTCCTTGTTGGCTCCACTGGCACAGTACCTGGGGGTGGTAGACAATCCACTCATTCAAGTGTTATTCCCAGTATGATCCATTTCAATCCTGCATCGTCTTTTCTGAGCGTCCTTAAAACCACAGAGGACCATCAACAAGGCTCTCAAAAGACTACAAGTGGTATCATCCTCGGAGCTGAAGTGTTTTTATACAGGGATCGACTTGCAAATACTACCCGTGACCCTGAGTGGGATTGACATTTCTTGAAAGTAATATATTTTATGGAAAAGATCTGTCTACTGGTTTGCAATGGTAAAGCCAGGCTTAGTTTTAATTAAAGTATAATGATATCCTGAGCTGGGATGTTAGTGGGGTCAACGCATAATTTAACTCAGAACTGCATAACTGCAGATCATAAATTAGTATGTTCATATATTAATTTATTAATTCATACATTTGGATAGTTGTTTAGTTTAGGCTTAAGACTTTTCGCAACTCACAAGATGTGCCATTCAATATCTCTCTGGTGAATTCACAGATCTTTCACTTGTTTTTGAGTTTCATCCTCTGGAATTAAATAAGGGGTCTTTCCTTCTAGGAAGCTTCAAAAGAGGAGTTTATTTGAGGTAGGCTTGGTCCTTAGAAAGACCAGACGGGGTGCAACAGATTTCCACAACCTACTGTACAGTATATCCCCTATCTCATGTCTGCTGTAACAACCCTCTCACTCCTGCTCAATTCTTATTGTATAAACTACGTCTCTCTATCTTTTCTCTCTTATTCCTCCCTGTCATCCCTTTCTTTCCCCTGTTGCTAAAACCTTTTCCACTCCCTCTCTCCTCTATCATCCCATCATACCTCACACAATCCTCTTCTAAACTGAGAGACCTGGTGGAAACTCACAGTTCTTTCTGTTAGATTAAGGCCAGTATGGGGCTGTTGTGAAAATTGCTTTCAATATAAAGGCTTTTTAACAGAATATACTCTAAGTGTCTTGGAGTTTTTCAATGTATTGCAGGAGGACCATTGTTTCCAAAGAGCACCCTTTCTACCTGATTCTAACAATGGAAAACAATTAAGTAGCTACGCCAAACACCAACTATTTGTCTTTGCTGTTTTCACAAACTTTTACAGAGAACTTCTATTCAGAGAAGCCAAACTGGGAGGCCATGCAGGCTTAGAAAACAGGTCAGCCGCGAGCGGGGATGCATGTGTTAAGGGTTTGTGTAAATGTTAGCATTGATAAATAAACATTATTTTACATTATTTACATTATTTAAAAGATCTGTCAGGTCATGTTAGAAGGTCCCGGTTGCCGTCTTGGTTCATTTGATCCGTTTCTCTCAGGGTAAAGAATATTTAATTTACAAACTGAATGAAATGAATAATCACTGAGTCAATTTCCTCACAGCCACCAGGCAGCTGTGCACTGGGGACATGTGCATGTGTGGTTCATATTAGCATACAAAATCATCCCCTCATCCTAGCCTAGTATCTAACTGGAGAAATAAGATAATGTATGAAGATTAGCCCTATACTGTTTTCCCCACGTTACAGTAAACTTGTTCTGACCAGCTTATGGAATGCAATATAATTGCAGATCAAGACAGACACAAAAAGACGGAGATCAAACTATGGGGTTGATTGACTTATTATTTATCTTCCCCTCTAGGTCACTCAGATTCAGATTCTGACAGATAATGTGATCAGTACCAAGTGTATGTGATATGTGCACCTATGTGTGTGTGTGATACAGGTGTATCTTGTTGAAGAGTGTGTTTATATTTGTGCATGTGTGGTTGTCTCTATCAGAGAGGGCATATGTTTTTGTGATTGTGTCCAGTTGAATAGAATGTGTGAATACATCTGGCTGTGTGTATTTGTGTGCCCCCCTGCACCACCACAACCCTCTTTTTCCTCTCTTCACACACTTGGCGCCTGTTGACATGGCAACACCTGCCCATTGGAATGTTGGACACCTGCTTGTTGGCATGGTGACATCTGCGCTTATGGGACGGGCATCTGCTCAGCGTGAGGAGAGAAAGGGAGAGGGAGAAAGGTGACTGGGTTGCCCTTGGCAACTGGGTTCTGAATGGGCCCTGACATGAGCACAAGGCATCGTGGGTAGAGAAACAGGGAGCTCAGTGTGAGGAAGAAACGTTATGCCCTCCTGGCACTCCTGGCACACCTAGGATGCATCCCATAGGGCTCTGGTAAAAAGAAGTGCACTACATAAGCCAGGTATAGGGTGCCATTTCAGACACAGCCAGGCTGTTTTATGGGCCTTTTCATTTCATTAGAGCGGATCTCTCTCTTCATTTTGCTTGTCTGCTGGCCCCTGATCTGTCTCTGTCGGATATGTG